TGTTTCTCTTTCTCCTCGACTTCCGTGTGTGTTGATAACTGAGACTCTCGGCCTCCGTAGTGGCGAAGATATCAAAGATCGTCTCTGCTGAGCGTTGACAAGATGAGGGGATTTTATATGAATGAATCGGTTTTTTACCGATGCAAAGACGCTACGCAATCGATGCATCGCGAGTTCAACCCGGTTCAACCCAAACTGTAGCCGATGTGCACTCTTTCAACCGGTGCACTCGCATCTTGAACGTTTATGCCGGTGCACCGATGCGAATCGGTGAATCTTAACATCTCTAGACGAGACACACATTTTTCCCACCCACATTCCGCGAAGACCCGCCCTACTGTGCCTCTGATTCGCAGATTGTTTGGGGAGAAAAAACGCTGACTGGATGCTGAATGTGATTGGACCAATGCGTTGACAGACACACACAGACAGTGGAACAGGACATGCAGAGCGCTGTTTGCAGTCTATGGACATAGCGGATCATTTGCGTTGTGGCGATGTCTCGCAGATAACACAGATAATACAGATTATACATATGAAAAGTATAATTTGCTCAGAGTCCAGAGACAGTTGTGGTTCGGTCCGGATCCGGACCGGAGTCCGGACTTTGAGGATGCCTGACTTAAACTATTATCAAAAGAGATCAATGTCTAAACAAACAACACCCCTTTTGCACTGATGACAGGCATTTGAAACAAGTCATGTATGTCCTTATTATGTATGTTAATGCTCATCCTTAAGTCTCCAATGTCAACCAATGTTTGTATTTCGCCTGGACAAGTTGTTCTCTTTCTACAAAGGCACACAAATCAGAACTATGACCGCTTCACGCCACAGAAACCTGACTAGTTTTACCCAAAGGAATGCACAATGTACTATAGGAGGACCATCCCATGCGAAAATATAACTGTAAGCATTGGATGAAGTTAAATAGTTCACACAGAGATTCATTTTCTTGTTAGACTGAAGGCCTATAGGAACAGCACCCATGATCTCTTATTGGAGCCAAAGAATTATGTCACCCCAGAGAGAACAATGTGCATGATGCAACCATGGCAACACTGTCACAGAGGCTGGAGAAGGGACAGAGCGGATGCTCCCACATGAATCTGTGCTCGCAGTGAAGGAAAAAAATCACATTAAACTAAATGAACAAAACGGATTAGATACATTTATCCTGTGAGAGACCAGTTTGGAACAGTTTCATGGAGCCTGTGTGAGCCTACAGTACAGTAGGCCTACGTGCCGTGGCCAAGAGGGTAATGTTTCTGTCTGTTCCTCCTCCCTCCCTCCCTCCCTCCCTCCCTCCCTCCTCTATGCTTCTCGAAAATCCTGCAAAGGTTTCCTAACATGGATTTGGAAGTTGTAAGAAAATGCAGCAACATTGCATGATATTGTTAGCGTGTAGTGTCTGCTCAAACAAGACACACTGCTTCAAGTCAGACTCCATAATCCCAAATGGGAGAACATGTGATTCCTGTAGGCCTGAAATAAGGATTTATGACTACATTAAATACATTTAAAAACATTTAAACAAAGGATGTTATTGTCTGTGAAAATATATATGTTTTAACTGAGTTATCTGTGCATTTCTTCCTCAATCATTTGATTAACTGTTGAGCGAAAATATGATGAAAAAGGTTTAAAAATGTATGCCTTAAAAAAACAATTATTTTGTACAGCCACCAGTCAAAGACACACATATATTGAGTTTATGATGAAGAACAAGAAAATCTACATTTTCTATACATTTTTGCTTAAGAAATTATTATGTTTTATTATAAGAAACAAGTTGCAGATTCATTGATGTGTTGCAGCTCTATCCTGCAGCTATTCTTCTCAACTGTCCATCCATAGGCAGCACAGTTTGTGACAAACAATCCACATTTTGTAAAAATATCCTAATCACATCCCGGTTTAGTTCTCCCCATCTTGGAAGCATTGTTTGGTCATATTCTTGCAAAGAAATCGCTAGTAAGTCCTTGTGGCGCTAACATTAAAGAAGTTCCAATATCTAGACTCAGTTAACTCAACGAGACTCATCACTTTCTCTAGCACATTTTGTGGCATCAACACAACTGACAACACCAATAAATCAAAGTCATAGCCTCCACAGTCATCATAACCCCTGAAAAACATTGCAATTCATCCTCATCATCATAACACACACACATACACACACACCAGTATCTCTGTCCCCCTACCCTCACAGGGAAGTCTTACCCTTGGCCCGTCACCATAACGACGGGAGCCGGTTCCATGGATACAGTCACTAGGCAACCAGCAGCATCAGCAGTAGCGGAGCAGCAGTGTCCTGTCAGAGCTGTAGTGGAGCAGCAGAGAGAGAGCCGTCCTCCTCTGGCTGCATGCAAGTTGCTTTTTGAAGAGGCAATGTTAATGCGTTTATCGTGTCTCCGATCTGAAGCCTCTTACATTACACTCAACACTAGAGGCGCTTACTGCAATTTACACTGACATAAAAGGACCTACACTGGGGACTAAACTGGGCACAATTTGCGGATGAAGGTGTTTGTGATTATTAAAACTTTAAACATAACTTCCATCTCGAATATGGACACTGCTTCTCTTTCTGATTTTATTTCTCATTATAAGGAACTAATAATGAGAGAAAACACAAGATATAACCATTTCAACGATAAATGCAATGTTAAATTGGGGCTCCATTTAACTATGTGTTTATATTATTTGTTAATTTGCCCATTTTCACATGTGGTTAGATATTGCATTACATATCATTTAGCTGACACTTTTATCCAAAGCGACTTACAATAAGTGGAAAAACCATAACGATTCAGACATATGCGTTTGGTCCATACAATGTCATAAAATAATATCATATACAGTCCACGGTGGCATCTTCAGAATTGTCCAATTCAGTGTGAAAGCCAAAGATATTCACTTTAATATCCCATCAATTCGCACATTTTACATGTAACACTTGTACTGGAGAATATTTGGCAATATTTGCCCAAAAAAATTACATTAAGGATTTATCGATGATCAAACCATTTCTGTTAATCAACAGACCAATCAATGGACTAACCCATCAGCTACTAACAGCTGGAAGAAAAGCAACCACAGACACCTAAAACCAGCTCTGAGCAGTGGAGGAAGACACCGCTGGATACTTAAATGCTAACATATTTAAAATATGTTTAAGGAATGAATTAAAGTGAAAGCAGCACAAAAATTCGCAAGACTTTTGCCTCAAGTTCATTTGTGTTGAAGGTTGAAATACCACATACACAAAGAAATCAACTTTAGGGACGCAATGTCAGACTTATATGATTTGATAAGAGGGGGGTTTAACCCACAGATGTTGTGAAAGAGTGAAGGTACAACATTTACCTGTAAATGTGTTGGGATCTAGCCATGTGAAAATGGAAATACCTACATAAACTACTTCAAAACTGTAGTGCAGACATTGTGTGCATGTACATGGTGACATTAAGATTATAGATACAAGATTCAAAGGTTTATTGTCATAACATCTAAACAACTACGGTGGAGTTATGTAATGTATGAACTTAGTTTGCAGGTTCCTGAACAGTGCAATTACAATACATAAGAAAATAAATATAAAAAACATTCCCATAAGAGCACATTCTTCCAGGTAATGTATTATTTTTGTTGATGATATTACTGCAGGGCAGTCTTAACAATCAGTTTAAAGTCTCCAAAAATAAACTACCAAGTCTGCCACATCTATAAGCCAACCATACTGTAACTGAATCCATACATGTTGTAGAATAAGGAGATTAGTATATATGTTGTGTAGACCACAACCTATGACTTTTTATTTTATTTAACCAGATTGAGATAAAATCTCATTTACAATGCTGACCTGGCCAAGAAGGCAGCAACGTTACACTGCTACATGAAACCAAAGAAAGAGACCAATACTGAAAACAGAGCATGGCCTGTTTGTAAAAATGATACAAAATAAGGCTAATAGAAGTGACCGCAAAGCCCAGATGAAATTAAAATGTATTAATAGAACTCATCTTAGAGGCAGCACAGACAGAGAAGCTTTGAAATATGTTGCATTGAAGATCGCAATTAAATATTCCCTTTGATTAAAAGAAGCCCTTTTTTGCATGTAGCTGCCCGGAGTGCCCTGGCTACAAGTCAGAAAGACATTCAGTATGTGTGCTGTTTAGTAATAGGACAACAAGAGAAATCACAGCACATAACCACGAAACATTACGATCCTGACAATTAAACCCTCTAACCTTGTACAGGTTTATAACAGCGGTAATAAAGCATTTACCCGGATGGTTAACAAGCCTTTGTCATTACAAGCGTGACTGATACAGCTAAATAATGGGCCAGATAGGCTAATAAGCTGCAATACCTCAGGCTGCACAATTTAACAGGTGTGCGTGTCTGCGTGTGTGTGCGCGCGTGTGTGTGTGATAATATCTTATATGAGAGCATAAAGCTATCATGGCAATACTGCTGGGGGCAATATGTCAAGACAGGAGAGTATATGACACTGCATCATATATCCTTTTCTCACACACGCACACGCACACACACACACACACACACACACTCATCCCTCCCCCCTCTACCCTGCAGTCATGGCTGTTTCATTAGCTCATCTTGAAAGGCCTGAAGATGAGGCTCTATGAAAGAATGAAGAGACAATTGTGATAGAGATATAAGTGGGGAAACATCTATATGCAGTAGACAGTGCTAGACGTTGTTGCACATATTAGGTAATGCCATTATTTGTCGCATGATAGTGTCCTTATTAAACATTTATAGCCATGAGAAAATCATGAGATGCATGTGAATTATATGTAGAAAATACGACAGCCGATCTAGGACATGTTGGATATAAAAATGGCATTGTGTGCATTAATGTCAAGACTATGAAGTCCTTGTCGATATCAATGGGATTATTCATTAAGCGTTCATTAACACACTGAATGACAAGCACTGCAGCAGGTATGTGTCAACCCATGTTGCCTTACGTTGTAAAGTAGAGTAGTTATCCATCTGGCAGCCTGCTGGTGGGGGATCCGGTTCTTTCTTTTTTTTAAATCACTCAGGAGTTCCCTTTGAACACCACAGCACCGGACAGCGATCAGTCTACCGGGACGAACCGAGCCGGTGTGAAACCAGGACAGGTACCTGCGCTACCGGCCGCATCCTCAGGACCCCCGGGACGAGAAAACGGAGGAGGTGAGCACATCAAGCACTCCGGTAGGGAGACTCATATCGTTATCATTCGGTCAGGTTTAAATCCAACACACCGTTTTCACTCAGATCTCATCGGAAGGTTTCTCTACAAGATTGCCTTGCTCCGCCTCCATGTGAAAAAAAAGAAATGGAAAGCAAAGCCAAGATGCGGGCACACCGGGGAGGGAAAAAAAGGTCAGTGTGCGGTTAAGAAAAGCACACGGGAGAAACGGATCCGTGACCGAGAGGAGCGGTGGCGGTGCCCTTCTTCTTCATTACCGAGCAGGGAAGCACATACTGCATGAGCGCCGTAGAGAGAGCGAGAGAGAGATGGATAAAGATGGAACGAGGACACTAGAGTAGGTGCGTTCGCGCGTGCGCAAGATTGTGCGTGCCCCTGTGTTGTAAAGTTGCGCGCGGGTGTGTGCAAGTGTGTGAGGAAGATGAAAAGAATGACACTCGTCTTTTGCATCTCTCTCACACACACTCACTCACACACACACACACACACACACACACACACACACACACACACACACACACACACACACACACTGTTCCTGAGACTGTTGCCATGCTGCCTTCATCTATCCCTTTGAGAAAAATGTGTTTTTTTCTGTGGACAAAAATAGCTCAATGTCACTTTAAGATTGTTTTAAATGAGAGTTTTAAACTGCAACCATATACAAATATACATGTATGGCTATGTTCATTAATGATTTATGCTTAAATCAAACAAAACATAAACAATGTGACATTTTGAAATATAAATAATATGCACTGGTACAAAAATATTTAGAGTATGTTGGACAGCAGGGGAGGTACATGAAAGATAATCAAGTCAAATAAATTAAGATATTCTGACTTGCGAAATAATTCTACCTGTCTCATGATGCAACCTAATAGTGTCTCCCTTTATGCCACGTCCATATAATATTGCAGTTCTCAGAGCATAATAACTATTCTCTAATTTGGAGCAATAACGTCAATATCGGAGTTGTTTCCGACTGGATTTTTCAGTAGCTCACATTTTGGCACTTAACAAATAAGAAGTGCTCAACAAAAAGTAAAGTCTCACATCAGCCAAATATACCATTGAAGATAATCAGACCTATATTGAATGAGTACACTTATTTTTCCAATGCACAATACATTTTGATTCTCACATGTTCATTTCTGCAACCACACAACTGTCTTGTTTGATTATGTGAATGCTCGCAATTTCCATCCATGAGGAGAGATTATCCTATTCATTTATCAGATTCCACAAAGATCCTAGAAGAAATTAAACAACTGTTTGCACAGGCTTGGAAGTGCTCATAATGACAGACAAACGGTCCTCATGTGTAAGATCTATGGAGCTTTTAGTGTCACCTTTAATAAGGTCTTCGGATCCAACCAGCCATCGCAGCAGTAACACTTTCAGGTGATCAGATGCGTGTTTGAGAGTCAGTTTGCAGAAACATCACAGACATTATCAGCAACTGTCCCTGCTGCCAAAGTGTTTGGCCTTATGCCCGGGACAAATGTGTCCCTCCTCCTCTCCATCCTCCTCTTGACCGGGACTTTAGTTTCCAAAAATGAAATATGAATCCAAAAAGTAAAGGTGCCATCTATCAAAAGGGATAATCACAGTGTTATTGAAGCTTTAGAACTACAGCTACATTTTTTTAATTCACACAACAGGTCTAAGGGATTTTTCTTGCCATAACTTATCATAGCACTAAAAGCGACTGTACCTGTTGGAAGAGAGAGAATGTAAGATGGCAGTCCAGAGGCTAAACATGAGTTCCATATAAATGGTTCTTGAGAAATCCAAATCATGTGGACGACATTCTCTAGCCGCAAATGAATGCGTGAGAGTCAAATTGTAAAGCAATGTGTTCAGTAAGGCAGAAAGGAGCTATATAAATGCAACATAAGTGCTGCCACTGTTATGATTGCATAGTTGTTATGGTTGCTCAAATGCAGAGGACCCTTGTTTTGTGATGGACATCATAGATGTTTAGTGCACAGCCAGAGCTCAAAGCATGGTGCAGTGTGCTGCTCATAGCCTGCTGAGTGGGCTCCTGTTGGGAGGCTTCCTGAACCCAATCAGCACATCCACAGCCACCAGGAGGTCAGTTCAATGTGTTGCCTTATTAGACGTGGTGTCTAAATATGAGTTGCCAATTGCTCATTAGCTAAACTTCCTATCAATATGTTTCACCTTGGATACTTATTTCAGACTGATCTGCAAATATTGGCAATGACATAAACATCAATAGGCTATAGTAGAAATTCTGCAAACTCCTGACTGTGTCCAATAGTGACATATTTCCCATTTCTTGCTTTTTGCACAAATGGCAACTAAAATAAGGTAAAAAAAACATGATACCCCGTAATTACTCTGACATATATATATATACGTAAAGAGCTAATTGCCCTTATGTATTTATTGTTTATTTAATAATAAATAATATAATAAATAATAATATCCAAACATTTGGTCTACCTATGCTGTAAAATGTATTATCCCTTCGATTTACACACAGCATCTGTCTGTCCGTCCTGGGAGAGGGATCCCTTCGATTTACACACAGCATCTGTCTGTCCGTCCTGGGAGAGGGATCCCTCCTCTGTTGCTCTCCCTGAGGTTTCTCCCATGTTCCCTTTAAACTGTGGGTTTTCTCCGGAAGTTTTTCCTTGTACGATGTGAGGGTCTAAGGACAGAGGGTGTCGTATTATCATACTGATATTCTGTACAAACTGTGAAGTCCACTGAGACAAATGTAACATTTGTGATATTGGGCTATATAAATAAACATTGATTGATTGATATTTCCTATAGGGACAAGTACTGCACTTTAAATCACATTAACCAATAGCAGTTTTTTAAATGCCTCCAAATATGGGACTTTAAAATACATAAAGCCTGAGAGTAAAATCCATATAAATCAGCACAAAAGTAATATAATAAAATGATCATAACGCTCACTGACAAACAACAGGTCCTTCACAACATGACTCTCTAAAAACTGTTTCAGCTTGCGTTTAGAAAAGTCCTGAATCATCCAGCATTGGCGTAACTCCTAGGGATACTGGGCTGAGATTAAAGAAGCAGGCATGAGGCAAAAATCCAGGACCATCAAGATGAATTTGTTTGGAGAAGATGCTGCATTTAAATGAGAGTGTGGAGCAATACATTCCTGGAAAATAGCCTTTATTGACTAAAAGTAGAGCCAAAATAAAATAACAATGATCAACTCAAATACATGAATGGTGTGACAATATTTGACCTGTAATTGCCCTGAAATAATGTATGCCTCAATGGGATGCTATAATACAAATAGGGATTCCTTTCAAAAGGGGCAGTGTGAGTCAGGATTTGTATTAGAATCTCGTGATCTATATCCAAATAATGTAGACCATAGTTGATACTACAGGAGAAAGACTGGGCGTTTGGGAGGTCCTGACAAAAACAAAAGGCTTCAATCTGAAGCTGTAAAAGAAGTTTCTGAAGCACATTATTTGGAATTAAGTGCTCTGGACGTGAAGATAAAATAGGATTTCTATCATGGCTTGAACTGACTTCTCACCCTTGATAAATTAACATAAGATGACCTTCAGCTTCACTTCACTCCAACGTATTCAACTCTACTCAAACAAATCACATAGTATCCTTATGCCATCTGTGCCAGTTGGCAGTGCCAGGCTAAAGCCCCAGTAAAACCCAGATGGCAGCGCTGGGACTCTCCAAGATTGACTGAGTTTAACAACAGTCTGGAGAAAACAGGAAGCTGGCCAGCCAGGCACTCTGTCAGTCAACAAGTCATCTCTCTCTCTCTTCCTGGGATAAGGATTTTTCAAAACCCATACAAATTGATAAAACTCCAATCCAAAAATCCTGTCTTTAAAAAAAGTTCACGCCAAAGTCCTGTTTAGCAGCTGGAACTGGATTTGTTGCCTGGCAACAACTCAGAGGGACCTTGGGGCTTTTTAGTCAGAGTGTACAGAAGAATTTTGGTTTTGAAAGAATGAAACATTTTCTTGTAATACAATAAAGGGGTTTACCTTTTTCCCTAATGGATGATTGAATGATTGTTTATTGACAGGATGGTAAGTAGCATATTAATGACTTGTGTCTAAATGGCTACAATGTATAGTTGTATCATGTAAAATGTTGAGGAATCCTTGCATTTCTTTCTATTTTTCATTTCCTGTTTTCTCTAAATGCGCTCTTGCACTTTGATTACAGAAATGTAGTGCATCTTTTTATAAAAGCATTGAGCCACAGGAGGCAACACTTTACAATGATTTGAAATCAATATGAGGAGCTTCATGATGTGTCTGTTTATGACTGACTGATTTACTCAATATTCCAAACCCAAATGAAACTAATAAAAACATAATTGTTTTTAGCGATTATTTTAGGAATACCATTTTTGTATCATTGACCAATCTTCAATATCAGTTGAACACAATCAAGTATTACTGAGTGTGAATGTTCATGCATAGTCATTTGCAAATTTTTCTTTTATTTAAGGAGATGTTAGAAAGTCCAGAATCCTTTACTACAAACATTTATGTATGAACACTTTCTGATTTAGCTTAAAATGTAAGATGAGCATTGTTGCTGACTTCAGCTGCAAATGTATCAGATGTAAAGACAATGTATGGAAAACAGATTTTACCGTGTGTGTAACACTTTGGTGGGCCAAATTCATTTTACGTGAGCCAGGTTATGCCTACGGGTCCTATTTAAGGCAGCATGGATTCAGCTGATTTCACCCACAGGTCCTATTCTGGGCAGCTCTGGTTTAGAGCTTGGATCTGCTATAAAACATAGATCACTCTGCTGTACATGTAGAGACCTTGTCTATTTTTGGTACCACTACTATGAGTGATAGATGGAAATAACAACAATTCTCGTCAGGATTCCCATTTTGTGCAGTTGTTAAGTTTAGAACAAGGTTTGAGTAAGGGTTGAGTTTCATTTCATTTCAAACCTTTATTTAGACAGATAAATCCCATTGAGATCATTGATCTATTTTTCAAGGGAGACCTGCTCAAGTAGTTCCACATGAAACATACAAACATAAATAGAACAACAAAAGGACATCATACAGCATCATTTACATAATTATCCACATAAACAGGTACCTATAGCTTCCGATTGAGTAGCATCCAACCGAGCTTTAAAAACATTTAGTGGCACCAGATTGTTCAGTTTCCATTTAATTTGCAGACTATTCCAAGACAGAGGAGCTGCGCATCTAAAAGCTGTCTTCCCTAAGACAGTCCTAGCAGTTGGCACATTTAATAAAA